TTTGAGGGACATGGTAATACCATGATTCTCCTCTTCCTCTCTTTGCTTCCTGCTATGATAGATAGATAGAAAGAAAGATAGTTGTTAGGAAGATAGAAAGAGAGAAATCCATAGCACTTGAGGTGAGCAGTTGACTACACCACGTGCCTTCACTAGATCTGCTCCCCAAAAAAGAAAATCAGTGAAACAGAATCTCTGAAACTGTAAAAACCTAAGTGAGTCGCTTACATCCTCCCTCTCCTCTTCAAGATTGTCTTACTATGTATCACTGGCTGGTCTGAAACTCATATAAACCAGCCTGGCTTCAAAGAAAGATCTGCCTTTGTCAGCCTCTTAAATTCTGGGATTAAAGGATGTACCACCAGGCCCAGCAAACTTCCTTATTTAAAAAAATAATTTTTTTTTGTTTGTTTATTAGATAAAGTTTCTCTGTGTAGCCCTGACTATCCTGAAACTCAATCTGCAGACCAGGATAGCCTTGAAATCCATAGGGATCTACCTGCCTTTACATCCTGAGTGTTGTTGGGATAAAGGCATGTGACACCACTGCCCAGCTTAAAAATATTGCATTAATTTAAATATTACTAATTTTGTGTATTATGTGTATGGGTGAACACATGGGCCAAAGTCCCTGTGTGAAGGTCAGAGAACAATTTATTTCTTCACTTTTTCAAGACAGGGCTTGTCTGTGTAGCCTTGGTTGTTCTGGAACTTACTATTTAGACAAGGCTGGCTTTGAACTCAGAGATCTGCCTTCTTCTGCCTCCCAAGTGCTGGGATTAAAGGCATACACCACTATGGTCAGCTTAAATTTTGAATTTTTATGTGTGTAAGTGTTTTACATGTATGCAGTGCCCAAGGAAGCCAGAAGAGGGTACTGAATTCCTTGGAACTGGAGTTACAGGCAGTTGTGAGCTGCTATGTGGTTGTTGAATGAACCCAGGTCCTCTGGAAGAGCAGCCAGTGCTCTTCACTAGTGAGCCATCTCTCCATTCCCCACATCCCTGAGAGAACAACTCTTTTTGTTTTGTTTTGTTTTTCGAGAGAGGGTTGTTATGGAGTATTTATTTATGCTGCATGAAAACATGCCACAAAAAAGTGTGTCAGAAATTCTACGCTTGTAGGCTGAAGATGGATGCCCCAATGTTGCAGAGGAACCTTGGGGTGACTGTCCAGGCAGCCAGATGTCTCTGCCATTTCTATAGTTTGAGAAGCTGCTTGCTCTGCACTTCCTGTTTACTCAGACAATATTATATCCTTCTCAGGTCTCTGATGGGGTTGAAGAATAGGTAGTTATAGTTTTACAGTTCTCCTTGTTACCACATTCAGAAAAGAAACTTACAAAAGAGATGTAAAGTTTATAAAGGGTGAGAAACATAGAGGATTAAGTTGTTTATCTAAGAAAATGTTTTGCTGGGCAGTGGTGCACGTCTTTAATCCCAGCACTCGGGAGGCAGAGCCAGGCGGATCTCTGTGAGTTAGAGGCCAGCCTGGTCTACAGAGTGAGATTCAGGACAGGCATCAAAACTACACAGAGAAACCCTGTTTCAAAAAAAAAAAGAGAGAGAGAGAGAAAATGTTTTAAGGTCTACAAAGATATTTTTAGGTTGATAATACAAGTTAAGATAGAAAGTGGTTTAGGTATAAAACTTTGGACTCATCAAGATAGGGTAGATAATAGAGTAATTTCTCTAAATTTGCCAAATACAAATGGACTGAACATTGTGAATATAATCTTTACTTGATAAATGTTCTTATTTGTTTGTTTGTTTCAAGGCAGGGTTTCTCTGTTTAGCTTTGGATCCTGTCCTGGAACTCACTCTGTAGACCAGGCTGGCCTCAAACTCACAGAGATCTGCCTGCTTCTGCCTCCCAAGTGCTGGGATCAAAGGCATGTACCACCACCGCCCAGCCTTGATAATTGATCTTATTGTATATAGTTTTATTATGTTAGAGTTAAAACCTTTCCTTTTTATTTAGACAAAAAGGGGGAAATGTTGCGGGATATTTGTTTACACTGTGTGAAGATGTGTTTTGCCTCACCTGCCTAATGTACCTGATTGGTTTAATAAAGAGCTGAAATGGCCAATAGTTAGGCAGGGAAGAATAGGTGGGATTTCCAGGGAGAGAGAGGAACTCTGGAGGTAGGATTTGCCAGCCAGACACTGAGGAAGTCGGACATACAGAATGGAGGAGAAGCAAGAGTCAGGTGACAGAACATAGATTAACAGAAACAGGTTAATTTAAGTTATAAGACCTAGTTGGGAACAAGCCTAAGCTAAAGGCCAAGTTTTCATAATTAATAAGTCTCTGTGTCATTGTTTGGGAGCTGGTGGTCCAAAGAAAGTCCGACAAGAAAGCCTAACTACACAGTGGTTCTCTGTATGGTCCTGGCTGTCCTGGAACTCTCTCTGTAGACCAGGCTGGCCTTGAACTCAGAGATTCACCTGCCTCTGCCTCCCCAGTGCCGGGATCAAAGATGTGTGCCACCAGCACCCAGCTGAGATAACAACTTTGAAGAGTGGGTTCTCTCCTTGCACCTTTGCATGGATTCCAGGGATGGACCTTAGGTCGTCAGGCTTGCTCAGCACATGCTTCTACCCCCCACCCCCCAAGCCACCTCCCTGCACCTCCAACTTTCTTTTTTGTAAGTTGACCATCTCAGGAGATTTTCGTTGTTTTTGTTTTCAGTGGCAGAAAGCTGACCGACACAAGTGATGTTCCGAATATGTAACTACCAACCCAAAGTGGAACCGGTCTTCATGATGTTAGAGCACACTGGCGTGTGCTGCTGAAAGTCGGCCCCACGCTTAGAGCGCTGATACAGTTACACACTCAGTAACACATACGTCAGCTGCAGGACCTTGACTCCGCCACCTAGAGAAAATCCCCGTTCCTCCTCACTGAACTGTGCGGAGGACCGAATAAATCAGTGCATATAAAACAAGCACAGTTGTCTGGAGATGCTTTTTTTGTGATGTGTCCTGGGGGTGTTCTTTAGCGGCAGCAATGGGGCAGTCAGGGCTCAGGACAGGATGAGAACCCACAGCCAGGCAGTGCTGAGGTGTCTCTAGCGCTGAGACTAGGCACAGAGACACGGTATCCAGACAGGAGATGAGTACTGAGCTATGAGATAGGACAAGTCCAGAGATGGAAAATCTTTGCCTCTAACAGGGTCTAACCCGCTTGGAAGTGCCTTTACCTTCCTGGGATCAAATTTCAGCTCACACTGCCTGGGCCTGTGGGAAGTTTCTGCCGACCTGGTCTTTGTGCTCCATAACTCCCTGCTCTTTTCTGTGCCTTTGCCTTTTCCCAGAGGTTACCAAATTCGATTTAGGAAATGTCCACCCCTAGGCCTCGAAGTATACCTCAGTGACAGTGCACCTGCCTTGAATACACAGGACCTGGGTTTGATCCCCAGTCCCTCCAATACCAGGCACATAGGTGCACGCCTGTACACCTAGCACCTCCCAGTGAGGGGGAAGCAGAAAAATCTGGAGCTCAAGGAACATCTTCAGATTCATAGAGTTAGATGGCCAGCCTGGGCTACATGAGACATTGTTTCAAAAAACAAAATAAAACTCCAATGACTAAAAAAGAAATTTTCCATAAAATCTTATCCATCTTGGTTGAATGTGGGGTAAGGGCCTTTTCCAGGTGGAGGGCATGTCCACATGGTTTCTCTCTTTAGCTGTGAAGTTTCAGTAGAAAAGGACCAGTGCCCAGTGAGCAGCGTCAATGAGTCGGACTGCTTCTCAAAGTCTCTTGTGTCACATGTCAGGAAACTGAGACTCAGCGGGATGACATCACTTACCCAGAGTGCTGTGGACTATCATTTTAGCCATGTAAAGATGGGTTACATTTGTTTATGCTACGGAATATTACTTTAACTATGTGAAGGCGTGTTTCACTTGTGTGTGCTGCATTGGTTTAATTATGTAAAGATGTGCTGCGTTTGTTTCATCTGGCCTGCCTGAGGCACCTGATTGGTCTAACAAAAAGCTGAATAGCCAATAGCGAGGCAGGAGAGGGATGGGGGGGGGCTGGAGGGCAGAGAGAATAAGTAGGAGGAGAAATTCTGAATGAGGGAGAAACAGAGAATGAGGGAGAAAGGGACATGCCCAAGGCCAGAAGCCAGGCAGCCACCAGACAGACAGACAGACACAGAGGAATCAGGAAAGTAAGACATATAGAAAGAAAGAAAGGTAAAAAGCCTGAGGCAAAAGGTAGATAAAGAGAAACAGGTTAGTTTAAGTTAAAAGAGCTGGCCAGAAACAAGCCTAAGCTAGGCTAAGCATTTATAACTAACAAAAAGTCTCCCTGTCAGGATTTGGGAGCTGGTTGGTGGCCCAAAAGAAAGCCTGGTACACCAGAGTGATGATTAGTAGTGGCTGAGTGTGGCCTAAGCACTGTTCTGATCTCATATTTAAGACACAGGTGGCCGGGCAGTGATGGCACACGCCTTTGATCCCAGCACCGGGGACCAAGAGGCAGGTGTATCTCTAAGAGTTCAAGGTCAGTCTGGTCTATAGAGTGAGTTCCAGGACAACCATGACTAAGTAATTCTGTCAAAAAAAAAAAAGAGCCGGGTGGTGGTGGCGGCGGCGGCGCACGCCTGTAATC